GGGTAGGAGATGGCAGGAAATGGCCCTGGGCTACCCCCTGCACCCCGTTGATGCTGTCTTGACGGTACACTTGCTGTCTGACCTGGGTGTGGGGGAGGGTATCCCTGATGATGAGCTCGCCACCCTCCTGTGGGGAGAAGAGGCTGCCCTCTCCCCACCCCACCCCAGGCCGTTTCAGAGAGGAGCCCTTTCCAGGGACCCTCTCTTTTGCGGAGGAAACCTGAGCTCTGCTCTTCTGTCCCCAGCTCAGTCCCTACCTGCTGTGGCCTCCCTTCCTTCGAGGCTCAGCCTCCTCTTCCAGAAAGGCTAGAGGCTGCCAGCTGATGGCTGAGATTCCCCTGCTTGGGCCATCCTGGGAGTTTGGGGCTGTGTGTCCCCTAGGTGCAAGGCAGAGGCAGGGGAAGGGGCTCAGGCCTGGACTGGTCCTGCCAGCTACCGAGGCTGCCTGCACCTGAAGAGCCAAAGCCGCAACTGGAAAGAGAAGCCAGGCCTCGGGGGTGACAGAGGCCAGGAGAGCTAGGTGCCAAGTGCTTCTAAGCCTCCAGTTCTTGCCATGGCAGGGAAGCTTGTGGCCTCGGTGGCAATGGACCCAGGACAGGGCTCAACAGCCTCAGAGACCAGGGGTGGCATAGGAATACACCAGGAGCTTTACCTGCAGGTAAAAACACACCTATGCACAGGATGTGCCCATGAGGGGCAAGGAAGGACAGCTCCTTGCCCTCCCAGTGTCACCCCACTAGAGAGTTTGCCCAGCTGCTCAGACCGCCACAAGCCACCAGCATCCAGATACTCATCGCACGCAAGAGTCCTGCCTGCGTTCTTCCCTCCTCCTCTCCCCAGCCTGGCCCCTGTGCTCCCAGGAGCTTTGCTCAGCATCTTCCTGCAGGGCCAGGCCGTCCTGTCCTGCTTCTCACACCTCCTGGGCCCCTTGCCCTTTGGCTCATTCCTCTGGGGGGCCTGCTTCGTTGTGCCAAGCCCTGCTGGACCCCAGGCTTGCCAGACCTGTCTTCTCTGGGCTCTAGCGGCCCTGCTCCTTGTGGCTCAGAACAAGTCTGTACTTCCGGCTCAGCCTGGGGGTCACTCCACCCCAGGAGCTGCTCGGAGCCATCCGGCGAGGACACAGGGTTCTCCTGGGCCCCGGGCCTTGAAGTGAGCGTGCACATACTCTCCCCGGAGCCGGGGCTACTGGCCCCTCCTAGAGAAAGGTCAAGGGGAACCAAGTCTGTGCTTTGTGGAGAGCCAGGGACTGGACTGGCTATGGAGTCTCCTGACCCCCTTTTTGGCCCCCCTGGGGATCCTGGGGCTGGGCTGGTTGCTGGGGCACTTGTGGGTCGGCCCAGCTCCATTCTGCTCTGCTTCTGTGAATGCTCCTCCTCACTCCGAGTCTTTCTGGTACTTTGGCTTCCCTGAAACAAGACATTGGCCCTGCTGGCTGGCGGATTCAGAGCTCATGTCCCTAGCCCGCCCCATCCTGTTCCCAAGCACCCACCTCCTGGCTCTCCAGCTCCTCCTTGTCTTCCTTCGTTTCCCACCTGTAGGAACACAGCACGTGGCAGGCCCTGCTCCCACCCACCGCCCTTCACATCCGTGGCTCGGTAGCCAGTGGCCCCTGTTCCCAGGGAGCAGCCAGAGCTGGAACAAGGCCCCAGGAGGCGTCCCTTCCAGCCTGACCTTGTTCCCCAGCCAGCCATTTCCTCTGAACACCACCCACTTCAGCGCCATCCCAGGTCCCCAGCTGCTGTTTGTGGCCAAGCCCGCAGCACCTCGAGTTCCGTGGGGACTCTGGACGTGTCCCTGCCTGCACTACCTGGGGAAAGGCATGCCCAACTTCCCCGGGGGCAAGGCAACTGCTGTAATTACTGTCGGCCTCCCCACCCCCAACCTCATTAACCTGCCTCCAGGCAGCCCCAAGGACTGGAGCAGACACCTGGACCAGTGCTGGGCCTGACCTCCCAGGGGCAAGGGAGATCCAGGAAGCCCAGATGCTTCCCCTGATTTTGCCCGCTGCCACCTGTTACCTGCGGGCCCTGCCGGTCAGCCTCTCTGTCCCCCGGGCTTTGCTTCGTGTGGCCGACACCACTGAGGGTCTGCTGGGTTGCCCACCCCGAGTAGTACCACCTGCAAGAGATGGTCCACAAATTAAGGAGAGAAGAGGGTCATGGCAGCCCAGCTCCTTCACCAGCTCATGCGACCCTGCTCCTTCTCTCCCAACTCACCTTTACCATCAAGGGACAGTGGTGGGGGCTGTGACTTCCGGTGGCTCCTGGGACCTAAGTGAGGCAAAGGAAATGGAGAAAGAGTGGGGTGATAAAGGATCCAAAGCAGTAACACCAGTCTTCCAGGACTGGGAAGCTGTCAGTCTTTCTCTTGGTCCAGGTGTGGATCTTCTGACTCCCCAAAAGATCCCGGGTCTGGGAATCAAGAGGGCTGGGTCTCTGTGCTCCCTTTGCCATTCCTGGCTAGGCAGCTGGCGGAGTCTCTCCAGCCCCAGCTTCCTCATGTGTAAAACCAAGGGGACTAGCCATTCTAAAAGCTCCGTTCCTGTAACAGGCCAGGGGCAGGGAAACAAGCTTTCACCCATGAGGGACCAACTTCAAAAGGATCCCAGTGCAGACTTCTTGTGAGCCTCCTCCCCAGACCTTCTGGGGCCAGAACCCAGGGGAGGAGCTGTGGGTTTGGAGGGTGGGGAGGTGCCCTGCTCTGACAATGAGGGAGAGGAAGTAAGATGTTCTTCCATGCCTCCTTCCAGCTCCAAAAATAAGTGGCACACCAAGAGACAGAGAAAGGAGAGGAAGCACTGCGGGGGGGTGGGGGGTTGGAGAGGGGGCTGTGATAAAAGCCAAGGAGGGAAAGGGGGTGAGGTGGGTCTTGGCTCACCCCTGGTGCCGCCCACCCTGGCCGGACCCTCTTCCCAAGGCTTGCCGGAGTCCTGTAGCCTGTGGAGCCAGAAGGTCAGGCTTCTTTGGGGTGGACACAAGCTACAGCAAGACCCACGAAGCCACTGCCTCCCCCAGCCCCAACCCCAGAACCGACGGCAAGAAGATGATGGTGGGCCCAAGAAAATGGGGGACCCGGTGCCCACCCTGAGCCCAAGTCCCCACCACAGGGCCCAGGCAGAGCCTTAACCACCCTGGAGAGGGTCCCACCAGCCCTCCAAGAAGCATCCGCAGTTAGTCCTACCCCAAGCCCCACAAGCATGTCAGTCCAACGAGCTGCCCAGCCCTGCCACCCACGTGGGCTTGGCCTTGTCCAGGTCCCATGGGCGGCGCCAGTCACCCTGTGCATCTCTATGCCTGGCCACGCGGGCCAGGTCGATCTGCTCCCGCTCCTGCTTCCACTGGGCATAGTCCCAGCCCACCTCCACGGGTCCCCCCTTGGGCCGGTGGGGAACTGGGCCTGGGACCAGGCCTGGACTCTGGGGCTCCCGAGCACCCTGCAAGGAGAAGACACTCAGCACCATGGGGAAGAAGCAGGAAGCCTTGGACTTGGAGTGGAAATCTGGATATTACCAACCCCTGCCCCTCAAGGTTTTGACATCCCCATCTGAAAATGAAATCCGTTCCATCTCTGACACGTTCGTTCACCATAGGCACGGTTTCCACCCCCTTGTTAGCTGTGTCTTTGGGGCAAGTTACTTAACCTCTCTGTGTATCATTTCCTCATCTGTAGAATGGGGCTAATAATAGCGCCTATCCACTGGGTCATTGCAGGGGTGTGTGGACAGGCCCAGAGTGGAGAGGCACCCAGCCGCGGTGAGCAAGAGCCAGGACTGGGGGCTGCTGCCACCTAGAGGTCACACCTGGCACATGGCCCACCCCAAGGCCCCCACCTGCTCGCCATCAGAGATCCAGTTAGGGTAAGGGGCTGACCTCTGACATACCCCATCAGGGTAAGGCCCACCCAACGTGGAGACTGGCCAGAGAAAGGAAGAAAGAGTGGGAATTCTTGCTGGTGCTGCCTGGGCCATGTCGCCAGAGATAGGGGACATAAGTGACTCAGCTTCTCCGCCTCCCCCAAATGATGACTGCCACTTTCACGTCCCCGTTCCCTCTTGAAGATGTACTTTCCGTGCAGAATCCGAGCTGATGGCCATCTGCATGGAGGGGGTCTGGCCCAAGCCCCTTCCACGTGACCCTTCTGCGCCCTGGTTCCTTGCTCTGGTGGGCTTCTCACTTACGATCCGTTTGGCCTGGGGGGAGGCGGGATGGGCAGTGTGGCACAGCCTGGTAAGAAGAGGCTGCTGGCCTGATTCCTGGGTTTCCCCCACCCACCCTGCTCACCTCAGCTTTGTTTTCCATGGTCACAGCCAGCTCTACCCGTTCCCCCAGGCAGAAAGTACCAGGGTGGTCCTCCACCTCCTCATCCTCAAGCATCTCATCGGCTGCTCCAGGTCTGAGGGGTCTTGCCCAGTTCCGGCTGACCACCCGCTTCCCCTGCAGAATGAGATGTCGTGCCCTCAGACCACATGGCCAGTGCTGAGCAGGAGCTGGGGACGGAGTCCTCTGGGAGGTTCCCCAGGCTGGGTTCCAGCCCTGGCCCTCCCTGGAATGCCCACAGAGGAGATGATTCCGTGGGGCATTCACATGCCAGTGGCATGAGGTTATCCAGGGACCGGGGCCACCCCGGGGTCCAAGATGCCACAGCAGCCTGTCATCTCTGAGCTGGGAAATCCAGAGCACTCAGACAATGGGGCTTTGTCCCTCAGACAGTGCTCCTGGCATTCAGCCCCCCTTCTCTGTCCCTCTAGGGTTGGGGGTTTAGGAGTGGCCTGTGATTTGGAGCATAGGTACAGGGCTGCGGGGCCCCTAACTTTCACATTCACCTGGAAAAGGGCATGAGGAGGATTCTATTTGGTGGCCTTTCAGCTGTGGCCCTTTGGGGTCAGAGGGACCGCAGTGGGCTGGGCGGCCTCAGGCTGGGAGCTGAAGGGTGAGCCCCAGAACTGGAAGTGGAGGAAACAGAGGAGCGGGAACGGTTGTCCTTCCCAGACATGGGCTGGGCCTCCGGCACCTCACCACCCTCTCTCCCTGCAGGGGGGGCGGGGTGGGGGGGCTTACGCCGGGGACCTGGCTGATAGTGACAGTGAGGCCATCGGGGCGGAGGAATTCCGCTGTGGTCACGGCCATGTCCCCCTGCTCCGCCTGCCGCCGGTCTTCCTGGATCTCCTGCGGGAGGGCCCGGGGTCAGCACAGGCCATGGCCCCCCAGACACACACAGACAGGCCTACACAGAGAGACGCCAGTGGGACCACCAGGGGGCAGAGGCACCGCATCACAGCGTCCCCGAGAGCCTCACAGACTTTCCGAGATGGACCACACCACCGTAACTCTGGCCCCAGGCCTAGCGCCCGCAGGGAAAGACCACGGTGCAGGGGTCTGGGGGTCAGACAGGCAGTGCCAACCCAGCCGGTCCTCCCAGCCCCCGTCACGACCCACTCACCTGGTACCTGCGTAGTAAGGCCTGGTTCTTCTTTCGAAGGGCAACGATCCTCCGATCCAGCTCAGCATCCTTCTCTTCCTGCCTGCTCATGGGTGACTCGGCTCCGTGAGGCCCCTGCAGAGGGCCGGTTGGGGGGGTGGGGGGGCAAGCTCCTGACTGCTGGGCCCATCCCTTATCAGGCCCCTAACTTTGACATTCCCCTGAGAAGCATATTCTTACCACGAATGGACCCCGGCCCCAGAGCTAGGCTCCCAAGGGGAGATGGCACGTGGAAGGCCCCAAGGCCCCACCCTCCTGGGCTTCTCTGCCTGTCTCTCTGCCTCCTCAGGGGCTCGGGTCAGGGCCTTATACCCAGGCCTGCAGCTCCCAGCAATGGGCTGCCCCTCCCCCCCGGGCCCTCCAGGGAGCTCCACTGCTGAGCAGAGCCTGGAATGAGAGTTATAAATGGCTCTGGCAGCGGAACCTGCCGTGACTGGGAAGTTGCCAGGGGATTCGGGAGGTCGAGGGGGGGAGCCGCTCGGCTCCCAGGCCCAGAACCACAGGAAAAAGAGAGGCCCCAGCTGTGTCCTGGGCTCCCAGGCCCTGGGCCCCACTCCCCAGGCTTGTGCCCAGCCTGTGGGAAAGAGCGGCTCCCACGAGCCTGGCCTCCCCAGGTCCGGAGAGACAGCCAGTCCCGTGGGCGGGCCCAGCCGGGGAGCCACCCTAAGCAAGCCAGGCCTCTGCCCCGAGACCCCAGGTCTCTCCCTGTCTGGCCGCAGGGTCTCCGTTGCAGCCAGTGGCCCTGCCCAGCCCCCCACCGGCCTAGGCACAGCCCTCGTCCTCCCAGGCCCAGCTGTCCCCAGCTGTCCCCAGCTGCCCCCGGAGTGTGAGGGCCTGGTGTCCCAGCCTCCGCCCCAGCCCCAAGAAGCCCCCCGCCAAAGGTGAGGTGCCACTCACAGCTGAGTGCATGGCAACAGTGGGCACCGAGAGAATTCCAGAGCAGCCCCGGGGGAGCCAGGGCAGGAGGGAAGCCGGAGCGCCGAGCCTACGGAGCCGGAGCCGGGCCTCTGCTGGCCTCTCCCTGCCGGCTTCACTGCTCAGCACACGAGATCATGTTGTGATTACAAAAGCCTCCTCTGGGCTCCCAGCCAGGAATGCGCACCGCCACCCCCACCCATCCACTCTCAGAGGGCAAGGACCGGGGCGCTGGCCCTGCCCAGCACCTCTCCCAGCCCGGCCCAGCGTCCCCAGAGACACAGGCAGGAGCCTCTCTCTGTTGGGTTGAGCCCACACAGGGGGCCTGGCTGCCCCAGGCCCTGCCTTCTCTGAGGCCCTATGCCCAGCCGAGCCCCAGCCTGCACCTACCTGCAGATGGACGGGCAGCCAGCATAAGCCTCCATCCCTCCCAGTAGTGAAGAAAGGCCTACAGGGTGCAGCTGAGCCCCTCGGCCATCCTAGTCTGAGGGCCCCCACCTCAAATGAGCCTCCCTTTACCGTCCTTATCAGCTCAGGTTTAGCTCATTTGAAGGCATTGAGAAGCTTACCTCCCCTAGGCCACCAAATACAACTACATACCTGAAATAACACCATTAGCCGTTCCTTTAGGTTGAACATCGTCTTCCCTGTGTTTTAAAGCCCAGCCACTTCTGAGAGGCTCAGCTGTTCAAGTCTCCCCTCGGTGTGGGGAACGGGGCCCTCCTGCAGGGCCCATGCTACCGCAGCTCCGAGTCAGCCGCCAGCCCTCCCCACTCAGGGTCCTCACTCCGGGCCCTTCCTGGCCTTGCTCTCCACGTCTGGCCTTTCAGCCTCTCCCACCCCGAGAAAAGAAGCAGCCTTTCTCAGGAAAATCTCTCCCCAGTTCTTCCCAATACAGCTGAGGCTGGTCCCTCTGCCCAGGGGAGCAGCGTGCCTGGTGGTCCCACTCTTGGAGCCTCCGGGAGCTGGAGCTTGGGGTGCTGGGGGGGGTGGTCTCTGTATCAGGGGTACCTGTGGTCTCTTTTAATAGCTACGAGGCCCCAACCTCCAAGCCCTAAAGGGAGGGTCAGAGGTCACTGCATCCCCCACATCCCTGATTGACCAGGCCTCAGTTTCCCTAATTCCATGCTCTGTCTCCAGAGCAGAAAGCCCCGCTGCTCTCTCCTTCCTCCCCAGACCAGCCCAGTCAGCCAGGGTTTCAATCTCTGTTCCCCTTGAACCGTGTCTTCCTGCCACCCTCCCACCCCCTCCACCGTCAGCCTCTTTCCTGGCCAGGCCTTCACACAGTACCCCTGGCCCCACACCCAGTCTCCACGGCCCCAGAGTTCCCATCCTGCTTGGAAATGCCACCACACTCTCTCTTCCTTTCCTGCCGGATATTCCCCCTGAGTCAGACTCCCAGCAATGATGATACACCCAGGCTCCTCTCCCTGAGCCAATCTCTGTCTCTCTGTCCTTCTCCCACCCTCTCTGCGTACTGCCTGAAACAGGTTGCTGAGTTCCAGCCTAGCCCCCGGAAGGCCAGAGGCAGGGCCCTGGTGGGGTGGCAGCCCAGCTTCCCACCACCTGCCCTACAATGTGTTGTTGGAACTGGGAGGCCTGCCCAGCACCAGCCTGGGATGGGGAGATGCACCAGCTGAGACCTAATCTTCTCCATCATCTTTGGAACCCAGGCTCCCCAACCAGGCCTGGGGCAGTGGGGTGTAGCTACAGGAGGCTACAGGGGCAAGGCCAGGTCAGCTGTGCTCCTCACTCCTGTTCCCAACTCTGTTGGGGCGGGACAGCTGCAGGGGAACAGGAGGCCTGGGTAGCAATCCAGCTGTCCCATAGGGTGGGCGACCCGGCTCTTCTGGAAGGGCCTGCAGGCAGAGACTCTCCTAACCCAGTGACAAAGGCCTCGGGGCCCATCAGGCTGCAGCCCCACGTGCCCAGGACAAACCAGTGATCAGATAGGACCCCACAGTCGCTGGCCCCTCCCTTCCCAAGTGTTACACAGTATGTCATACCTCAGAGCAGCCCCTACATTCTCCTATATTCTCCAGAGTCCAGTATGTGTTTATCTGCTACCCCACCGGACAGAGGCTCTCTAAGGACAGAAATGGTGAGCCAAGTGCCTCCAGATCCCCAGGGCCTGGCACAGTGCCCTTATAAACCACAGACCCTGAGGTGCCTGGGTGGCTCAGTCGGTTAAGCGTCTGCCTTCGGCTCAGGTCATGATCTCAGGGTCCTGGGATCGAGCCCCGTGTCGGGCTCCCTGCTCGGTGGCGAGTCTGCTTCTCCCTCTCCCTCTGCTGCTCCCCCTGCTTGTGCTCTCTCTCTCTCTCTCTCTCAAATAAATAAATAAAATC